TTGTAAAACAATATAAAAAATTTGTGTAACAGTACTTTTCAATAGAAAATAAACAACCAATAAAAACCAATTTCTATCATGCTTTTACCCGATCTATGTAATTATATAAAAATAATGATCTTAAAAGAGAAGTTGCAATTAGAACTTGTGCTAATAATGTTAGAATTAGATAAAATTAAGCTGTGTATATAAAGCTAAGTTAGTAAATTCTATGTGAAATTAGTCCAGAAGCCTCGTAGTTAAGAAATTTGCGAATCCACAGACTGTAATGTCCTTAACAAATAGGGTCTTTGCCTTGAAAATTAAGTTTGGATCATATGATTTACTATGTCCCGTAAGGTGGCAAAGACCCCAAATATTTAATGATCCATTATAACTGAATTAGTATGTGACGGAAATTAAATATAACAAATTTTTTCCATAATTAGTCATTATTTCTGCACTAATTCTAGTTTAATTTTAACAGGTTATATAGCGAATCGGATAACTTGGATAACCCGTTGGACTTCTTTATATATACAAGACCATTGAAGTATCAGGCAAAAAAAAAACATAAAAAAAAAAAAAAACAGTTTTGTTGTATTAAATTAAAGTAAAAATGTGTGAAAAATAAATTATAGTGAAACAACGAAAATAAATATCGAATTCATTGAATTTGTTCGTTTAGTTCGAGTTCCACATTGTATTCTATAATTTCCAAATACATATATGAATAGGTTTAGTTAACTATTAATTTTCTCTATCTAATCTAATTTGATTAATTTCAGAGTTTTATACCGATACTTAAAGATCAATGGATTATTGGGGTGTACGACTCTATGATTTACAAACATAGTACGGATTGGTGCACTAAGTAAAATTTTTGAAATTTGTAGATCAATTTACGTTGAAAAAAAATTTAACATAGCGAAATTAATAGTATTTATTATAAAAAATCAGTGTATTTTTAAAACGCTCTAACTTCTGTTCTAATGAAGCAAATTCAATTCTGTAACTTGTAAATGATATATTAAGAGTATGGTTTTAAAACTATGTAGCCATATTTAATATTAATATTTTGTCGCGGATTATGATGATATTTGGATGATGGTGAGATTAAGTATTTTGGTGATCTGCAAAATTTAGCCAATAGGATTTTCTAATCTCACCATAATCCGCGACAATAAATTTCTATTCAGATCTACAAAATTCAAAAATCTTACTTAGTGCGCCAATAATATAATGCTGCACTATGTTTGTAAATAATATAGATTCTCACCCCAATGGATTATTAAAGTAGCTTATATGACGTAATTATATTTATGTTTATTAAATGATAAGATGGTGAAACATCTTTTTTCACGTGATTTACTAAGTAATCCTTGACATTAGTTTCTTAAAGTACTTTAATACATTAACTAATTTAAATATAAGCAACTCCCTCTTAATATTCATTGTTCCCGCTTAAAAGCTCAAAGCTACATATATATAGATTTTTTAATATATGTAATTCACAAATATATATAATTCTTGAAGAAAAGTACCTAATTTCTCTCTCACTATCCAAATAATTCAGGATAACTTATTCAAAATGGGAAATACATTACATAAAATTAATCAAAAACGAAGTAAAAAAATCCCCAAAACGAATTTTCAAATAGACGTAAATTCTTCTCAAGTAGGTGCAAATTCTACCTCGTCCGACTCGATCGGTAAGCTTAGTATTCAATCAGAATCAGCTGTGAAGCTTATAGGAGGCCGTCCTTATTTAGACGAGAATGCTTCTGTATATCTTGTAAGTTATTAATTGCTTTATAATCGCTTAATTTTTGAATTAACTTTTATTTTATTTTTTAATAGTGTCCTACAGACTGGGAAGAAGCTGATAGACTTCAATTATGTCATTTTATTTTAAAAAAGTTATTTGGAGGTAGCTATGCTGCAAATCTTTCGAATATTATTAAGCCTGGAAGTAAAATTTTAGTATGTGTTTAAATTTTTTTCAAAAGTTATTGCACATATTTTCAATTTCAATTAATATTTTATAAATAGGATATTGGATGTGGACCAGGTCCTTGGTGGTAAATTTTTGAATATTTTAAATTGCTCAGCAATAGTAAAACAATTATTATTAAACAATCTCTTAAACAATCTTATTAATATAATTTATTAAACAATTATTAAATCTTTACATATCTATCCTATTAGCTTCGAATTAGCTCAAGAGTTTCCTTATGCAGATATCTATGGCTTAGATATTTTATCTTCCTTTCCAGACGCAATAAAACCTCCAAACTGTCACTTTCAATTATGTAATGTACTCAAAGGCCTACCATTTGACAATGATGAATTTGATTATATTTTTATGAGACATATGATTTTAGCGTTAAAGGAGGAACAATGGGCCCCATTATTAACTGAAATAAAGAGGGTAATGAAACCTGGTGGTGTTATTGAATGTGTAGAATTTGATTGGGCTGGTGAGTATAACTTCAAATAATTGTTAATCTTCTACGTATAAGATTATAATTACAAAATTATCATAAAATAGCACGTTCAGCTGGTCCCGTTCATACTGAATTTATTAAACGATGGTGTAAGTATTCCAGTTTGATTTTTTTTCATTCAAATTTTTATTAATTATGAATTATTATTTATTAATTTATTCAAATTTTAGTTGAAGCTATGTCAAAAACAAGAGAAATGGATCTTTCATTTACTTCAAAACTCAAACAAACAATTATTGACATTGGATTTCAAAATGTAAATCGCATTTGTAAACCAGTGTCTCTTGGAAAGTATGTTATGTTTTTTAAAAAAATTATATAGATTTATTACAGTATATATCTTTCAACTTAAAAATAATTACACACGTCTTTAAGATGGGATGAAAAACAAGGGAAGATTGGTGAAATATGGAATACAAATCTGGCTCAAATGGTCAGTGGAATGAAATCAGTATCCGTCCCAATTATGAATATAACAGATGATGAATGGGATTGCATGCTTAAAGACGTTGATCGTGAAGTGGACAAATTTCGCTCATACCAAGATCATTATTTCTTTTTGGCAACTAAATGAGTTACAAGCAAGATTGATAAGAGAAACCAAAGATGAATGAATCTTAAAATAAAGATTCAATTAAGACAACATTGCATAGCAGATAGCGCATGAATGAAACTTTTATTTACGTATATTGTATGCTTTGGTCTTATTTATGCATTTTTTTTACATAATTTATTACATAATTTATTACATAATTCATTACATAATTTTATTATAATTATTAAATTTTTAGCTCTAAACTATATTAAATAAATTTTATTGCAGGTTCTATTAAATTTCATTGAAAATGGAGCCTCAATAGTAATATTTGTGAAATGTTTTATTTTATTTTATTTTTTTTCTTTTTTGACGTTAATGTGAGTGAGTACTTGGCTCAATTGTTTATTAGTTATCATATACATTACAATTTTTACATTATAATTTCTAATCAATCTGCATATACAAATTAAGCTTAGGACTTACAATATGCAATCATACTACGTATATAATCCTCTTACTAGAATTTGTGGAATGTTTTATTTTAAGATCTTTTTCGATAAATCTATTTGAGTGCTGCCAAGGGAAAAAGGCATCCAGTTTTTAAGTATATCATTGATAATTTATCTGATTACTAATAAAAATGTGCGTATCATAAAAGATATTTTTGGATTTAATTGAGGATATGTTAGGATAACTGGTTTGCTATTAATGATAAAAAAGGATTTGTGTTTACGTATACACTGTGCTAAATATGTTCATATTAAATTATTTGCCAAATAAACATTTATTCCTATACTATCGTGTAACGTCTCAAATAACGTATCAAATCAGGGATTTCTTGTCTCATGCTTAAAGTTTGGAACAGGATTTAATATCACGACTTTTATGATACGTACAGATTTTTTGATGTTACATCAATATCAATCCTTATTAGTTGCAAATTAGATTATGATACAAAGTTCTGAGTACGTATTTGATAACCAAGATTTATTATTACAACAAATTATATAAACAAATTTATACGTATTAAGGGACCCTATGCTCTATAAACCTAGTATTACGAATAGTAGTGATGTATAGTGTGGTAAAGTAGTGGTATATACTACAAAAATCGCATTTGAGTATATAAAACTAGTATCTATACTCATATAATATATATATATATATTATGAGTATATGAATATCAGGTATGGTCGTAAATAATTTAATTGTGTGTCCTTCGTTGAAGTTCAAATACTTGAAAGGATGGTGTACGTAATCAATTGCCGTGTGACGAATAAGAATTGGCTATATATTTTTATATAACTAATTATTATTTGTCACGTTCATAATTGGTCACCCCTCAAGTTGAAATTCGGTAGAAATATTTGTTAACAAATTTTATACGGGATTTTACATGTTGTTTTAAAGTTTTACGAGTACTGATCCTTTCTTTAGCAGTTAAATTCTTAGAAATATTTTCGAACTTTCTGTATCAGGTTCCACAGAAAACCGATCTTCTTCAAATATATATTTGTAATATTTTCATAATAAGGCCATACAAACTTAATTAGTCGATTTTCATAACCCGGCCGGGTCAAAATTTACAAAACTCTAAAAAAAAAAAATTTCAAGTATATACTTACTATCCGGGTGTTTTTTTAAAATCTATAAAAAATTTTGTTTTTTATATATAAAATTTTTTGAAAATAAAATTAAAGGACAGGTTGCCGGGTCACTTTTGAAAATTTTATGTTATGAAAACCGATTTACTAAGTTTGTATGGCCTAATAATCATTTTTTATAAAAAAAAATTTCTCTGAAATCGTTATTAAAACTAAAAGGAATTATTTTCTTCGATTATTTTATTGATTAAATAAAATTTGTAAAAACATTTAAAAAAAAGAGAAAAAATAATTGCTACGATCATCGTTTTTCATTTAACGGTTATTTAGACTTTGGCTGTTTTCATAAATCCTGGAACACTCGGTATATAGGGTGTAAGCAAACATTTTTGTGACTAATAAACATTTTCAATATATTTTATATAGAAAATGCTTATTCTTCACTTATAATTGGTCACACCCTCAAATATTAGAATCAAATATTTGAGGTGTACCCAATCATAAGTAACTAATAAGCATTTTCTATATAAAATATATAGTAAATGTTTATTAGTTACAAAAATGTTTGCTTACATATTTCTTAAGTTTTCTTTAGCGTCGCATTTGTATAAATTTTATAATCATACTATACACAATATGTTACTTCAATACTCAGTTGTGACATCACCAACTATATATATGTGTTTACTTGTTTAATGTATTATACATTACTATTTTGCTTTATTATACAAAGACTTCTGAAATATCTATATATAAGTAGGGTTTTAGTTTGCTTATTTTTAGTCTTTTTTCTGTAGATTATTTTCTTTTATAGTAATTAGTTTGTTTATTTTTGTTTTTTTTTTTGCAAATCTTTTTATTTATAATAATTTTTATAAAATCTTATCTATTTTTAGATATTTCAAAATCTTTTTATAAAAGAAACTCTATTTGTTTCTGAGAGTTATAATTCTATAAATCATATTGTATTAATATTAATCAGATATTAGAAGTATGATATATTGTTTAGAGAGATGTAATATTATATGAATAAATTTTAATAGGATCTATAAGCAGAAGATCTGCATAATAGAAATTCTGAGTTAAATAAAGTAATACAGATTTTAACAGTTATACTAGTTAATGCTTGATCTGATAAAGAGATCTGTATATAAAGATATAGATCAAGTAGATATGAGTAAGTCTATAATA